AAATTCTGTATACAATAAACATGTATGAAAAAATAACAAAATAATTTTCAATTTTTAGTGATTTTGACGTATTTTGGGTAAAATTTGTACTTAAAATATAATAAGCATTTGATCATATTATTTACATTCAATATTTTTAAATTTTTTGGCCTAAATACATATCTATATTGGCATTTATGTAAAAAAAAATTAAACCAGTTTCAAAATTTCAAATGTCTTAATGGCTATAATTAGTTTAAAATTATTCTAAATATTTTAATATTTCATTGTGTATAGGAAATTATAATTTATAATTTAAGTATTAGTTAAATGTTTCAAATGTTTAATATTGTCAATGTACAAATGTACATGCTTTTATTCTAATCTTGTTTTTTAAATTGCATTAAAAAATAAATTTTTGAGCATTRTTAACTTTTAATTATTTATAAGTAAAACATTTTATGAATTTTCCAATTTTAAAAAGTTATGAAAATAATATGACTATGTATTTGGTTAGAAAAATTAATTAGGAACCTTGTTTTATAATTATTGTCATGCCTTTTCTCTCACAAACAAAATATTATCATAGATAAAACATACAATTTCAAAAGTTAAATATTATAACAGAAATAGTAAAAATATTTAAAAAATTATATGTCACGTCTAAAAAAAATGGTGGATCATATTAAAATTATTTATTGAAATATTCACAAAAAATCTGCCTGCCGGTTGCAAGGAAGTTTTCATATTGTTGTTGCTAGGAAAATAATATTAATATACTACCAAAATTCATTTATAGGAAATGGCGAATACCTATAGCTACCTGTGTTTTTTGTTATAATAATATTACATACTATCCATAAAATATGTCACGATGGCGGCCAATCATAGAGTATTGTGACACGTGTAACATTGTAATAACCATGTACTTATTAAAATATAGGATATAATTTTATTGTGAATGGGTCTCGACTTTGCAAACATTCCATGGTCGTCGGGAGTGCGTACACCTAGATCGTAGCGATAACATCCCACGCGGTTCGTTGCACTCTTTTGTCAGATAGAATCGAACGCCACAAGTTATTGCATGAGTGATTCGCAATAGAGAACAAGTGTTAAAGGATCAAATTATTATAATAAGCACTTCACATAACATATACCAATACATTATATTTGGTGGACGTATTTTGTGGTGTACGTGTGTATGTGTGTTTGTGTATTTTTACGAATTTAATGTTTCAATTGATATGGCATATTTTAAGCATCAAATTGAAATTAAATAAATATGCTCCGAAAATTTCATTGTAAAATAAACTTAAAATGGGTTTAAACTTGTCTAGACATGTATAGYAAGTGAAAATCCATATCATTGTTTTTTTTTTTCTGAAGTCATTGAAGGAAATGAGAACGTTCATATACACAAATTCCCCTGTTATACGTATCCAATACAAATAACGTCTTCACATTTATCGACAAATACATAGGTAACCTTATAACTTTAGGTAAATACACCTATTTATTGTAGTATTTACGTACAGTGCATGCAGATTTGATTTTGCTACTGATTAGCGAATGGCGATTCGACATCGAAATTCGACACACGACGAAAAATTGAAAAAAAAAAAATACTGGCATGATTTAAACACGGTTATTATTTTTATATCAAAAATAATGGTTTTTTAAATAATGGTTTCAACGGATTTTTTCATCTAGTTTCGGTAAARGTTAGAATGCTAACGAGCASTGCGATGATTAGGAAACATAATAATTTATCATCTACTTCAATTCCACCAAGAAACTATACTGCGAAAACATTTGTTAATCAAATAATATGATAGGCCATCGAGGTTTGATGAAATCGTGGTCCTCAATAAAAATATATTTTTCYATAAAAAGGTCGATGCTGTGATATAAATATAACCATGGTATAAAAATCATTGGTTATGTCTTATGTATATATTTGGTTAATCGCTAATTGCTATAAGATTTCCGAGGAATTTATACCATTATAATATTATTGTAATGGTTATATAGTAATARTATACAATATTGATTTTGTGTGAATACATACTGACGAATTCATTTTTTCTCATCATAGTTACTGCTTGTATAGGTAGTTAATTAATTACGTAAATTGTCAAGTACCTACTCCATGAATGCTTTTATGGTCTAAACATAAATCTTAAACAATTTTATATTTTAATCAAATCAAAGAGAGGCACTTGCACGTATGATATGTATAATATAAAGTGCCATGCCTAAAATATCAATGATAAATTATTATCATGTTTTGTTTTGATTTATATAAATGTTGACAATATTTCACATATTATAAAAAAAATTGCTTATGTCATTTCGTCTTTGTATCCTCAAAACAGTCAAAACTTTCGTTTTGACGAGGACCACTTGTGATCGTGTATGGTCCTTGCACGATTTAAAATTTCATTCCGTTTTCTTTAATAATTGTTAGCTGTTGAAAAATTCAAACACTGCACACAAATAAGTGATCGTATTATTATCGTGATACATATTATTGTGAGTAACCGGATTAACACCGGTTATGGTGGACTTTTGTGCACGATAACGGATTTCGGACATTGTGATTTTTTTCACCAACGCTAATGGGCCTGCAAACTGTGTCAAATAACAATCGAACGTTGACCAGCAGTCTGCTGCACAGGAAGTCATGGCGAGTTTTCCTTGTTTCCGGTCCTGTTACCGCTGGGTTTACCAACCTCTTCACACAGACATTTCCCCTCACCTCTGCCATTGACCTAGCCCAAAAAGCTTAATCAAGTTAAATAATCATTGTTCAACATATTATAAAAAAAATTTAAAAAAATTATGAATGTGTTTTTATAGTGTTGTTATACGAATATGCAATAATCGCTGCAATATCATTACGGATCTTGAACGTCTTGAACGAACAGAATCGTCGTGATCTTTCGCGTATCACTTTTGCCTATTCGATACGCCGTCTTAATAAATCAAAATGATATAATAATATTTTTTATGCAATTGCAGTGATAATCAGCATTTTTTAAACTTTTTTTTTTAAATTTAACGTAATAAAATATTATATCATTAGTTAATATCATCAAAACTAAATTATTAATGAAACGTTGAACAGTAT